TTAAACACACAGACTCACACTAACTGTGCAATTACAAAGACAATGTACAATACTTCACAAGTATGCAACCTTCCACTGTTTTCTATATTTATTTGTTGTATTGCATTTTGTTTGAAAATGGACATCAAATTAGTATTGTTTTGTCTAATTTATTTACTGCTTAACTGAATCGATTTAATGGGGCTTTCACACAATTGCACTTATATAGAATACATATACATGAATGTATAACTGGTGTGACAAGATGCATCTTGAATCTTGAGTGTCCAGGTGAATAGCTCTTTTACCCGTGGCTTGCTTCTGTACCTGCTCAGGTGAGTCACATCCCTCCGGGTACACAACAAAGTCAACACTGCAGCAGAGCCCATTAGGGTCCTTTGTGATTGTTGAAGTTGTGAAATTTAACTATTAGTCTCTGGCAGCCTGAGCTGACTTGGAATGTCGACCGGCTGAGACACGTCACAGTCTTAGAGAGACCTGGAGGATCTGGAGCCAGCAGGGTACAAGTTGAAAGAGAGCTTGGATGACTTCATCTTTTCCTTTGATAAGATTATTGGTATAGTTATACATCCACATTACTACCTTTGCCTTTAAAACCACATCAAATATGCTACAGATATTAAACTCCACACCACTGCAGAGTTTTAGAGCTGCTGATACAGAGTAGTTTCAGACCTCCAGACCACGACATGGCCTTCTCTGATTCATCAGGCTCTTATCACATGACAATTACAAGAGTTGCTGACCATATTGTCTTTGCTAACAGCTGTTGTGTAGTTACATTCTGCCAATTGCGGCTCGTACTTATTGCCATTGCTGTTTTACGTGTGTAGCTTAGCAACTGCAACAAACAACCAAATGCTTCTTGTGTGCCCTATCAGGCCTAAACCCATTGTCTTTTCTCAGACTGATATTTTCTGTTAATCTGCGACTCTAGATTCTCCCTTTGTCCTATTTGTTCTAAGTAAAGTTTTTGCACAAAATAACACTGTCATGGATGGATGTTATTGCAACATGACCACTCAGTTGATTTGACACTGCCACCATAAGAAAATCATACATTTTTAATAGGATTGAAATGTGAAGTTGGAGTAAACACAACTTACAGAGTAAATAAGTTAGAAAAGGTGTGTGTGTGTGTGTGTGTGTGTGTGTGTGTTTGTGTGTGTGTGTGTGTGTGTATGAGACAGTGCTTGATCATGTCAAAGTCTCAGCAGGCATCACACAGGAACCTTTTCGTCGGAAACCTTTTGTGTTTGTTTTCACGTTTGTTCACGCAAATGTGTGTGTGTGTGTGTGTGTGTGTTTCAGTTTGAAGACCGTAAAGTTCTTTTGTGAGTGAATACTTGTTTGATGTAATGACTGCCTCTGTATGGTTGTCAATCACATTTGGCCTGAGGGCCTTCTCTCACACACATTCACACACACACTTATGTGAACATACACACACGTTTCTCTGCCTCACCCATCACTTGTGTGTTTCCTGAGCTCTGGTATGATAATTCCTCCTTTCAGATCCTTCAGCATGTTTCTAAAAGGTTGTTTACAGACGTTTCTCTAACTGAACTAAGATTCCACAGTCTGGTTCTCAAAGGACCACACTGGTGGTTACACATGGTTTGTAGACCTGTGTTCACTTAACATTATTGCAGATGGTTCATTCAAGGTTTGGTTTAAGTTTCCTTCCTCTCAGGCAGCCTCTGGTCTCAGTTTAGTTGCATGTTGCAGAGACATATTTGACAGTGTGCAGGTAATCTATCTCTGATTTGATGCAGTTGCTGGGAATGCCGCAGTAGACCCAGTTCATAAAGTTGCATATTGAACATGTTGATTGTGCAGTGCCCTGGGAACTTGCGACACAGTTCAGGCTTTATGACATCATGTAGGTGCACCTCCTCATCAATCACGCAGAGCAACTCCACTAGTTTGAAATTATTTAATTTCAATATAAGTATATGAATGAGCTGCAGGGGAAATGGCCATGCAACACACATCGGGATGGACACCTCTTTAATGACTGAGGTTAATGTTTACATCATCATCAAGGCTCTGGCTCCAGAGGTAGAGTGGGGGGTCCACTAACTAGAAGGTTGTGGATCATCTTTTCCCGTTTGGGTGCCACAGTGTCCTTGAGCAAGATACTGAACCCTGAAATGGCCCCTGATGGCTGTTCTGGCAGTGGATGAATGGTGTGTGTTAGAAAAGACACAACTTATAATAGTGCTGAATGAATGGTGTGTGAATGGGTGACTGTGGCCTGTACTGTAAAATGTTTTGAGTGGTTGATAAGACTGAAAAAGCTCTTTGAACTGAACACATTTTCAGAGCATATTGTATGGGCCCCATTTAAATTTATATTACTTTCTTTTTCCAGAAGGTTGTCCATTGCAAAGAAAAAATATAATTCTAAATTACTCACAAACACAATTAACTCTCAGTATAATGCAAGCCAATATAACAGCTTTAAAAATAACTTTACTATGATGGCTAATGTTTTGTTCACAGTTTGCTAACCTGTGCAGAAGACCTCAGTGTAGCTTGATGCTCTAACTTTTTTTCAAATATAAAGTAAATATCGAGACTGAAATACTAAATGCTTGCTTATTTATTATTAAAATGGTGAAAATGAGAAAATGAATATCTCCAAGCAGTCAACTTTTGTTTGCTACTGTCTCAAACACTTACCTGTGCATCAGAGATAGCGACTGTCTTCTTGAAGATGATCCACTCAACAATCTCGCTGCAGGGCGGTGTGGTCAGAGAGCCGTTGTAGGTGAAATATTTCTCCGTGGAGTTTGGTAGGAGGCCTCGGAGGGTGAAGGGAGAAACCTCAGCACTTTTACCTGAACGTCAACACAACAAAGCTTAAATAGACAGAGGAAGAAGCAGCAAGTGATGAGACCCAGAGGAAGAAGACGTACCGTATCTGCTCACGCTGAGGATACTGTCTATGAATGGTGCGTAGTTCACATTGTCTTCAGTGGTCACCTGAAAAGAGAAAATCAACAGACTTGTGTCAAGCAGTCTTTTTTATGGATTAATGTAAATTGTTTGACACAGTCCAGGTTCAGCATTAGAAGGTTGGCCAAGTGGCCAAGCCCTGCTGACATTAGGGGAGGGGGACAGGTCGCTACTCGCTAGTCCATCACAGGGCCAACATACAGAGACAAACAACCATTCACACTCACACCTGTGGTGGATCTACAGTCTCCAATTAATTAAACCCCTAATCTTTTTGACTGAAACCCCACACAAACACAGTGAGGACATGCAGCCTCCACATAGAAAGACTTTCTTTCTGTGATCCAACAGTGCTAACCATCACGCCACCTCGCTGCCCCTGCTCCAAATGTGTTCATTGTAATGGATTTTAAACTGGATGGGATTTAACACAGCATTAATTGTATTAGAAATATTACTTTCATGTAATTGAACTGGGAATGTTTAGGATAGTTTATTCTACTGGCCCTTGGGAAGAAAGGGAATTTTTCCTTACTGTAAGTGGACTATTTTACCCGTTTAACTTCTAGTTGCAGGTAACTTTTTCAGTATTTTCGCTGGGTTTGCCAAGTTAAATGTACATTTAATACAGTGAAGATAAGGGTTGGTGGTGGCTCAGGGGAACAGCTGCAGTTATAGCTGCTTTCAGACATGTCCTGGCCTCTGCAGTGCCTAGTCTGTATTTTGTCTGGAGGAGATGCATGTGCACAGAGTTAATATGTTATTTCTTGTCTGCTGCACCCAGCTGCTCCACCTCTCGCCTGAATAATGTGGAGGATTTGTTGCTGTTGTGAACGTGTCTGTGCAGAGAACCTCCCACTGTGTTGTGCATATGTGAAAGGCAAACTCTTGTTAAACTCCGTTGCAAATTGTCCAGATTTACCCAGAGGTTGTGTCTGAAAACGACCTCATATTGTATGAGTGGGGAGCATATTATTATTCACATGGGCAATGAAACCTTGTTGCTACAGTTTTTTTGCTTGGTACAATTTATACTTTTATTTATTTGGCCTCTTGCCTTAATTTTTGACATGAAGGAGAGAAAGGAAACATGATGTGAGAGTAAGTGAATGACATCTAGCCAGTTGGGAGTCAAACCAGGGACCAGCTGCCCATATGGTTTGAACCCTAAACCCTTTTGGTGACCCAATATATAACATTTTGTATAAATTCAGTACAACAGTACAACTGTTTTTAAGAGTCTATTGTTTAAGAAAGCACAGAGAGAAAAGAAGGGGAATGACATCTGATAAGAGCCCCAGGACAGATTCAAACTCATGACTTTCAGGTTGCATTCAGCAACAAAGCCACCAGACACCCTCAACAAGAATTCTGGAGAGTTGAAAAAAAGGTAACCTGCCAAGGCGTCTGGCAGCGCACGAAAACGAAATTTCTCAATTTCTTTGTGTTGTGAGTTTCCGACCCTGCTCCCCACCCAACCTGCAGCCCAATTCAAAATCACAAACACACAGAAAGCCTGCAGGTTCACATCAGACGTTTTTCTGATTTTTGTTCCAACATGGCCTCTGTCGGTTCGAACATGCCAATGTGGCCAGAGGCAACGCAACAGCACAAAGCAGAAAGAACGAAAGTATGCATGACGCTCTGTACCCTGGCACTGAGCATGAAAACACATGGAAGAACACAGCAATGATCCAGAGCCAGAAATATGAATCAGACTGTTGAGACGCACAACACTCACTCAGGTATTACTACAGTCCATTGGTGGTATCACTGAGAGTGTTTGATTCATTCCCTCAGTCCGACTTTTTCATCTTTCACAAGAAGTCATCGATAAAGTCATATTCTGCGGATATGCTTCTCAAATCAGACACTTTCTGCAATGAAAACCAAGCCTGAGCTTTGTGTAAGAATACATCAGACCATTGTTAGCATTGCACATGTTGTGGGCTAGACAAACAGGTACAATTACTACCCCACTACATGGAGAAAAGCACCACTAAGAGACGTTTGACTACTGTGATAAAAGAAACTAGTTGGATTATAAACAGAAAGCATAGTCTTAGCCCTGATATCTGCTGTATATGCCCCACGATAGACTCTGAGCCACCAAGTGCACGCTATCATCAACTTAATAAAACAATGTCACGCCTCCCTCCTCTCAATGACAGGATGTTTTCGCTTCACTTTCCACTTTAGATATATATATATATTGATTTTATGCCCTAGTTCTGACTATAAACAAGTGCCTCATGTAAACTTTTCAGAGTAAAGTAGATTGCAGTAATTCACCTAGATGTTGGTTGCCACCTGCCATTAAACTGAACAAAAAAGAAGATGTTTCAGAGTATCTTTCATGCCAAAGATATATAGAAAAAAGCAAGATAAGATTTTACAGTCATGCTAAGAGGAGAGACAGAAGTTCACACAATAGCTATAGCCTATAGGTCAAATAGATTAAATACAAAATGTTAGCATAAATAGCCGTCAACTTCAGCCATCTTAGTGTTAGTGAGACAAGGTTAGAAGAGAACCTCTTATCAGCACTTTTTTATCCTCTCATGTTGGACTGAGAACAGACTGGATTATAGAATGACATGATTGGAAATAGGACTGAGATAAGACAGAGGCTGAGGACTATAACTCTACAACTCACAGGCAAGACTGAAAACTGATCTCAGTGTTATCAGTACACACACACACACACAC